CAGACTGAACTATTTCATAATTGGAAAGGCTAGATTCTACTGAAGGCAATGAACACAGGCTAACAAGCAATGTGGAAGAAAAATTCAACTTCTGAGATGGAATTTGATGAACAAATCACTGAAGTTGCTAAAAACAACAAAAAAAGTATTTTAAAGACACTAGAAGCAGGAAGCCGGTTTAAAAAAAAAAAAAAAAAAAGGTCAATTGCAAACCCAAAAAAGGAAAATCTGTTTGGCCTCGTGCACTAGTTGTAATCAACGGAACAACTAAGAAAGCTCATTTCCTGGTCCCCTCTGCTGTGAAGGAGGACATTAAAATTCCCTGCTGTACCTTTTAAAGCTGCTGGTAATCTGGGTAACGTATTAAACGTCAGAAAAGTAGATACTGGAGCAAACTGATAAATTACTTCTTAAATTAAGTCCAAGAATTGTGAAAGAAAATTGTGCAGTCAAGCTGCTAAAAAAAAGTAAAAAGTGCCTCTAATGGAAGTTCTCAGACTGGACTGTCAGCAGATAATACATCATGTCTTGATTTTTTTATATGAAACTCCATGCTTTCATTTCTAATACCTCTTTATGGCTCTCATGATGAGACATGACAGGACGTGGGTAATTCTGGGATAGTAAAAAAGTTACATGGGCTAAGTTTTGTGCTGGTCAAGGAAAAAAAAGTATGAATTTCCCCCCAGCCCCCAATATGAAACAGTTATAAAACACCCAGTGATCTCTCCCTGTATGAAGTAACTTTATAACCTGTTCCCAATTAAACATTAGTATTAGAAATAGAAAAATCTTAATTCCCTGGAAGTGGATTGGCTCATTAAGTATCTTAGAAAAAAACACCTCCTCTTTACCTTCTTAAATGCTCTTTTTCTTCTTCTTTTTCCATTTTTTTGCCTTGTCTCAGGCACCTTTTTGTGGTCTAATATTTGTTATAAAGGATACAGTTTTCTTCTGAATTACACTGGCCTGAAAATATGACCAGCAATGACACTATCTCTTCAGCTGCAGCTGTACCGTCAAGTAAACCTTTGGGAAAAGGTTTTGCATAGGCAAATGATACGACTGTGAACATTAAATTCTTAAATGTTGCTTTTGGCTTTTTGCTTTGGCAAAAATATTTAATCAGATATTAAATTTTTTAGAAACCATTTTCTCCATCTGCTGCATCAATAAATCAAGCTGCCACAAACCCCTGATAAAACACTGTAGGAGGCAATAGCTAATTCTGTGACCTTTTTCAGTAAGACTTCAAATAAAAGTATTACTCTCCCGTCTTGAAGTAGCATAAACCATCCCACCTTCTGACGAGCACGTGCGGAAGCATTGCTTCTTCAGTCTTAACTGAAGTTTCTCAGTTTCTTCTGGTGGTCTGTGCGCTTTGGGAGCTCTCTGCAACTTCTTTGTGTGGTTTTCAGGTGTTGCTCTCTACAGAAGAGATTCCTCTCCCGGTACTGTCACGCTAACCCTGCTTAATTGGTGTTCTGCCTCGCAGTGATATTCTACAGGAAACTATGAAAGGGTAATTCGGGAAGATGTTGGCTAGAAGAGACCAGACGGTAGGCCGCGACGTATTCCGGGGACGTTGACTTTGGTCGTGGCTGCTGTCTTCATTTCCCCTGCAGCCTCTGCCAACGGAGGCTTTCCCCGACTCGATGGCAGTATTTCTGAGACCCGCTGATGTAAAGGACGATAGTCTTAGCTTTTTTTTTAAGTGTGCGGGTTGAGTTTTTGCGGTTTTGCCCACTATTATGAATTGCCGGTACTGAGAATTCTGCTCTGGAAGAGACGGCGGTTCCCGACCCGGTTCCTCCCTCCCGCGGCCCTCGGAGCTGGGGGTGAGCTGCGAGCACGGGGCGCTGCCTTCCCTCCTGTCCAGACAAGACAGGAAGCCCTCAGGGAGTTGGCCGAACGTTTACTTTTAATTACTTGGGCTGGATTAATCACGGGCTGGCGTGCTTTTATAATTGGATTAGGGTATAAAATGGATCGAGGGTGGAGGATGGGCTCCGCGGTGGAAACGGGCCTTGGACTGAACGTGTTCTTTGTTTCGCTCTGCCCGGGGCCGCGCCCTGCC